TGCAATTGGACCAATGATCATCTTAATGGTACATTTGTTCCCCAAGCGTCATGATGGAACTGCTAGGTGTTTACGAATTTCATCATCATGATGCGACTAGATGCCGCTTTGTTGTGGTGGAAGAATTGCAAAGTCACTTTCCTACAAACTTCGTTTGCTTCCCAATTTCGTATTCATACGAAGTCCAATTCGATGAAATACTCTAGTTGAACCCCATCAGTCCTTTGGGTACATCAGAGTGCAAGCGAACGTATGAAACTAACAATATTTTCTATAGAGAATACATGGTAATTTCGATGTTCCCATGTTCTTCCTTTCATGACTTGTTCGTTTGCTCATAAAAGACAATTTGGAGTAATTACTAACTGTCTAGTTCGAATTATAATTGGCATAAATTCTGAATAGTAGAGAGAGAGATAGGACGTGAATGATCAAAGACAATTTCCCCGTGTAATTTGCTGTGATGCTTCAACCTAGTTGTCTTCTCCATAGTTCCAAGTTTCTCTCACTGAACTTCATTTGCCAACAAATTTCAGCTTCGAGTTTTTGCCGATCGGAGATGAAAACTCGAAGATTTCAGAGAGATTCTTTGAGCATTTTATTTGTCAAGAAGAACTTTTATTTTTGGTTGTAACTGTGAAGCACTTTCTTGCTTTATGGCGGATAATTCAAGATAATTGAATTTATAAGGCTCATGTAAGAGGTTTAAAAAACGATTATTCTCCACCAACGGAGTAAATTGGATGTTTTATTCAAATATGAGAGAAACAGAGGACAGATTAATTGAAGTCTGATGGACTGGTAACGGTGTTCATGATATGACCGAGGTCACGTAAGAAAATGAGAAAACCTTTTTGGTTTGAAACCTTCACTAATCTAGGCTCGAATTTAGTCATTGAGAAGTAGATTGCCAGTTTCCGTACATGAAAGGCGATTGATTGGCTACTTTCATGCTGAAGTATTCTCAGTTGAAGTGAAGTATGTTTAGAGTAGTTCAACTGCTCCTAATCCACCTTCCTATTCAATACTCTGAACTCTTTCATTTGCAAAATTCTTTTTGAATGGTTGCACTCTGTGGGCTTACAAACATTCATGGCATATGCTTTTTTGGATGTTTTTTTTCTTTTTCTCTTGAAATGAGAAATGAACGACAAACTTAAAGATTTAAGATGAGGAGTGCTGACAACGCCCCGGCGACGTGGCGATTATACACAAGGCTTAAATAATGTTGAAAGAGAGAGGAAGAGAGAGAGAGAGAGAGAGAGCGAGCGAGTCACACAAGTTCAGGATCTTCTTTTTACATGAATAATGCGTAGTGAAGGCGAAAGGACTCTATGAACATAAAAGCTGAAAGATAACATATGGAGACGGGCATGGGATGTTATGAAAGGAAGGAAAAAGGAAAAAAATAGTTGGGAAAAGCTGGGATAAGGGAAGAAGATAAAAGTTTCAAATGAGAGAAACCTGATATCTATTAAGTTGTAGAAGAATATCATGTGTTTTTGATCTATGAATATTTTCATCTCTTTTTTCTCTCCTGGTGAAATCTTTCTTTCTTCCTTCACGTGTCGAAGCCAAGGGTCTTCATGTCATGGAGAAGCAGTTGATCATAATAACAGCTGATGTTAGATGTTGGTTTTGACCTTTTCTCGTTGACAATTACTTAATTGATACAAACAAAAAAGGTTAATAATCCATTAACTTATTATTTGAAAGCGTATTCCACACGTTCTTTGGACGAATAAGGATATATTCGGTTTTATAGATTTATTGAGATCCTCTCCAATTGATCATGTGATCTCTATAATGCGCTCTACTAATATGCTTTTTCCAGCAGCTTCCCCACGTGACATATTCTACGTGAAATTTTGAATTTTTCTTCGAAATTGTATGACGCGTGGACTGGTTGTGAAAACCTTCTTTCAAAATAATTGTTTTTTTCACATTTTCCTGAATTTATTCAACATTTTACAAGAAAATGATTTCTCCGGTTCGAAATGGGACTCTATTCAGAAGAAACAGTAAAAGTCTACATATGACTAACATTTTTAGAAGCTTGTTCATGGCAAAGTGAAAAGTATCCACTCAATCTTACACGGCAATTACTATGAATTGAAGTCAAAGTAGTATTTCATCATCATTAACATGATATTCATTTTTACATTTATATCTGGCGAGAGCGCATCATCAAAAGAAGGAATATTGTACATGGCTCGTGTGAATCCTTTTTATCATTTCGTCAAACCTTGATGAAACGCATTGTACTAGCTGAGAAAAGATTATGGTTCTTTCGTTTTTGATTTCATTTTCTTCTTTTATCTTTCCTACTTGGGCCTTTCTGATATGATTCGTAAATGGAAGCCATCGTAGATAGTTTGTGTTCTGATGCCCGATAGATAGTTCATGGAGACATTTCTATTGAGAGATTATGAGTTAATGACAGTATTGAAAGACTTAGTTAAACCATTTGGGCTGTTACATCCAATGATGTCCTATGGAATCAATATGTGTCTTCTTCCAGCTCTCCTCACTTCTAAAGTCAATGATGAAATCAAGAAAATTGGAATGTGACTCATTATAAAGCGCAATTGGGTATATTTTCTGGATAAGAGTCCAGAAAGATTTCATTCGCACACAAAAAAAAGTTTTTTCTCATTGCATAAGCATGGTTTGCGTAGTAAAATAATTTTTTCCATTTCGAATTCAACTTCTTGATGAAAGGACGGAAGTTTTCAGCGGAAAGAAAGGCTTGCTTATATGTCCGTTAGTCACATGCTATTGGGTCAAGTCAAATGATCATATATTTCGATTATATTCATTTGGCTACATACGAATAGAATTGAATATGGAAAGACAAGATCCGACAATTTGATATTCTGTATGAGACCAATATCCATAAATTATTCGGAAAATAATACGAGAGCATATGGAATTGAAGAATAGTTTTTTGTTCATTCGTGGGCTTATTATCAAGTTGTGTGAATATTGTTGTTACATGTGATGAGGACTTTCAATCGTTAACATCTGCGTTTGCTTGATTAGTTTTGAAAAATGAAACATTTTGAGCAAATTTCAGTTCCTTCTATTTGGAAACTAATGAAAGTCAGGTAGTATTTGCTAAAGCCGGAAATGTTATTCTTCTGTCGGTCAGCACTAACAAAATAAAATATTATAGAATTTAAAAATCTTTTTTTTCCACAAAAACTGTTCTGTATTAACAGCTAAGTTGATGATACAGCTGCTTTTGCACAAAGTACTGAAATAGGAGGATGGAAGCATGTTTCGTGTGTACAATTTAAAAAAAAATGTGTATTTGTTGATTCATTCAACAAGCTAATGATACATGTTGTCAGGATATTGTCACGAAGAGGATTTTAACAAATGTATAATAAAAGAAAATAGGCAAAAGGGTTTACGTGTTGTATATTGATAGATTGAGTGATGGTCTTTGTAGTTTACAATCACTTTTGTATTGATATAAAACAAATGATTGAAGATTCTTTTAAATATACTGGATGAAATGATAATCTGAGAAGACGGAAGAGAGTTCCATTTGCCAATATTGATATTGGAGCTTCTTAGAGGCTTAATAATATTCTATGAATAATGGTAATTGCAGATAGTATAAAATTATGTTCTGCTTGAGTATGCTAATGTAGAATGCAATTCAATCGAAAATTTGCATAATTGTTTCTGACGACTTATACGTGGGGCGCATCACGTGAAGTTCATAGTGTGTTTTTTATTGGCACAAACGGTTGCGTATAAAGAGATTGAATAATCATCTTTTGAAGGAAGGGAGCAGAGAGTAAAGAGTTCTCGTTGACTTGTTTGCTTTTATTTATATGATATAGATAAGAACAATAAGTTGAGTTTTCAAAAGATGAGTCTTTTAACGTGCAGGCTGATAGTCCTATTGTAATGCGAATCACTAAGCTCTGTGTGATGGTTTTGTGAAGAAATTGATATGTGTGTCTCATCCAACGCATATTATAAAAAGATTCTTCTGCTACATACATCAACCTTACTTTCCCCCCCAAATACAATATTTCTAAAAATCTAGTTTCTTTCTCGAATCCTCTTCGACTTTTTTTACTTTTTTTTATTTTATTTTCACAAAGAGAACTAGTTGGAAATAGATGAAGTTTGCTTACTTGGCGCCTTCTGTAAAGTTGGTTAAACTTAGGAGGGAAAGGATGGGGGGAGAAGAGGTGGAAGCTGATAATGATAGTTCCACAGCTTCTAATATATTTGTGTATATGATCATATTAGGAATATTCTATTTATTTAGCTACGAAAATTGAGTTTTCATCAAACATTCATCGTCTTAATATCTTTCATCCTATTCAAAGCATCATTCTATCAAACTTTTTTTAGTTCTCATCAGTCATTCCCCTATTATTCTCTTTGTGAAATATTATTTTCTTCTTGCTTCTGTACACATGCCTGAGTGAAGGTGCTTCCCCCCTATTCTCTCTCTCTCTCTCTTCTTCATCTTCGTCTCTATTCATTTCTAATTTATGTGTTTTAAGATGCTTTTGCATATCTCTTCAACGCGTTCTATCAGTATTTCTCCACTCAAATCCGTCGTATGCTCTCTCACAATAAAAAGCATGTGTAATGTCAATCTCTGCATGAGGTTATCCCTTCTCATTTGTCCTCAACTCCAATCCTCAAATCGTTTTGAAGCTTTTACTATTTTTCAAATCAAGCGTATATATGTATTTAAAAATATATATTATATGATATTTTGAATTAAGGTTTAATACAAAGTGATTATCTGTTCTTTCTGTTTCCGCTATAACTTATATGTCCATTACACAAATGCCAATGCTTTATACACGCACATGCTTGTCTTGCCTATCGATTCTTTTTCTGAAGCTTCCAAAAAGGTTTTGTCCAGCAGTTAGTTGCATGCCGACACTTTATTTCCTCCAAACAACGTATTTGTGGATTATTTCATTGACAATCCATCTTTTCAGAAACAGAGAACTTTTAAAATGATACTAAATGGAAAAACGAATGTAAGTTCAGCTTCTTTCTCCTTATTACAATTTGGATACGAATTTCCTTATCAGTTCGTTTCTATTGTTCTTTTGTCTACACTTTTGAAAGTTTAAGAATAAAAAATAAATAATACGTGATAAGATCTTTCTTTACTCTTAGATTACACACTTACCGGATGAGATGTTATGGTTGATCTATTCACAGCTGGATATTGTTTCGCAGCTCAACTTGTCCAGTGTTTCGAAACAGTTTCGAAGAAGTTACATCACATTCCACAAGAAATACTCATGTGTTACCTTTCGAGGTTCACAAGCTCAAGTGCTTTTACTCATGTTACCTCATAGCAGTTCCTTGCGTTTCAGTGGTTTATGATTGAAATCGAGACCGGGCATGATAAATGGCGCAGAGAATTTTATTCAAATTACCAGAATATTACAGAAATACGATCTATAAGGAGTAACGGGTATATCGAATTGAACAATTCGGAATTGTAAACACTGTTTAAGACGTGATAATACGAAAATTGAAGAATCTCGAAGGATGCGTGGCATTCGACCTGACAAACTGGCTAAACTACATTTTAAACTCTTTTTACACAACAGCCGTGTGGATAGTTTGCTTGTTGGCATGGTATGACAACACAATTATTCTTTTTTTCGTAAAAGTTACATTTAGACATTAATATTTGATTGTTTAATTGATAATAATATAAGGACGGACCTACTAATTATACCATATATGAAACAAACTGAAGTTATCATTGATCACTTGAGGCCGTCAAAGCTCTTCATTTCACACATTGAGAATAATCTATATCCTATTAACAGAAAGATTATAAAAGTAAGCTTCATTTGTATCCTATAAAAACTTGTCTTCACTCTCTTGACAACCAATGCATTTCTACTAAAAGTTGGCATCTGTAAGTCATTGAGAGCAAGAGATAGAGTAGTTAGCATTCTCTGAAATTATGAAGACATTAGCTCAATATTTTGAACATTTCAGAACCAACTAAGTCGATTACAAATACAATATGCTGGTCCAATGAAAGATATCAATGTTAATGATTTCATTACATCGAATATTCGTTCACTCATTATTACTTCAGATATAGATTACTTCACGGTTGAAGAACTAGTCACCATATTAAGAGTATTTCGATTCTATTTTCTCATAATACTCAGAGATTCAGGCATGGAGGAATCAGGAAACAAAACTTGAGGAAATCACAGCGTCTGTAACATTCAATGAAGATCTCAGGAATTATGATGGCTTTGAGACTTCAGAGCTGTTCAATTCGATGTGCGATGAAGTAGCCAAGTTTGAAGTTTCTTTAGAAGAATGGTTCTGGAGAATTCATCAGCTCCACACGAGTCGAAAAGCTCATTTAATATGTTCTTATAAAAACGTGAAGTTTTGTGAAATACACTGAAATCTAAACTTTGTTCATTTTATATTCTTTGAAAATGTTTCTTGGATGATGGGTTGTCATATTTACAATATAATATTATGTTTTAAAAAACCTAACGTGGCCGCGTGGCGCAATGGATAACGCGTCTGCCTACGGAGCAGAAGATTGTAGGTTCGAATCCTGCCGTGGTCGATATTTTTGGTTTTCAATTACCAAAAAAAACCAACGATTTTTATATTTTGATCTACGGTCAAACCCGCAAACTTCTATCGATTGTTTCTAATTTACTTTAAACGAAGTTCTAGTGAT